CCACACACTCAGACAAAACTGGTTCATCCCAAACTCCTAAACACAAACGTAGCAACGTAGTGTATGCTGTACAGTGTAGCGAGGAATGCTCAAACCTCTACATTGGAGAGACAAAACAGCCACTTCGTAAACGTATTACACGACATAGAAGAGCCACCTCGATGGGACAAGACTCGGCTGTTCATCAAGGACAAAGGTCACTGTTGCGGATGCCAATGTTCACATTTTGGACAGAGAAGACGGATGGTTTGAAAGAGGAGTGAAAGAAGCCATTTACGTCCATTGTGAGCGACCATCGTTGAACAGAGGCGGTGGCTTACGACACCAACTGTCTGCCATCTATAACCCAGTTTTGAGATCCCTTCCCAGATGCCTCAATGCCCACTCACATCCTGGGCCTGTTGACCTCAGGAAACCACATCATAGGGTGGGGCCAGGTTTCACAGCAGGTTCCCCCGAAACTTTTGATTGTGACCTACACCCATTTTCACACCTTGGCTCATGTGATTAGGTAGAGGATCAACAGGACCCCTGTGACCCCCTTGGGGGACACTCCCCTAGGACTTAAATCTGGGACTCTCCCCCATTTGACGTTAGAACTGAAAGAGCTTCTCAGATGAGAGGTGGAACGTCTTCAAGCAACTCAAAGAAGTCCAGACACTTTTCTTTCCAAGCTCTTTAGACTACCATGACCTGGATGACTGAGAACCTTCACAGAGAAATTGCTAATTGTACCTCTGAAAGTGTGAAAGTGCAGTTTTTTTCATGAACCTACAAGCATTGGGCCTCTTTGGTCAGAAAATAATGCGGATTCATTATCAAACTAAGAGACAGCAAATATAAAATGGCACTTAAACCAGGAAAGCTACTAAAGATGCTAATGAAATTAACTCTCAGCAAGTTTCCCACATCTCACAAATGTTGCTTTTGTTAAGTAAAAAGGTTTTTGAATTTCTGCTTTAAAAAATAAATAAATAAATGAATAATTAAATGAGACTGTTCAAATGAAAAAAAAAAGTGCTTGCAGAACAGTTTTTGACTGATATTCCTTACTCACAAGCCACTGTATAAGACTGCGGGAAATATCCCTCTTCAGCAAGCAAATCAGTGTGTCTATGGTCATTCCCCACTGTACTGTGGAAATTTACAAGACTAAAAATCTACTTTTAGTCAGGCTAAGGTAAAAAACAAAACAAAACATTGGATTGTATATTACAGATATGATACTGTCTATTATAGAAAACTGTAACTGGGCAAGTCACTTTAGAAGAATAAGATTATGATTCAGTTTTATTGAGCTTTATCTATTCTTTTAAGTTAAGTTTAAGTTAAACAAACAAGGTCAAAAATATCATATTTATACTGAAACCACACCAAAGCCTTACAATAAAAAGGAATCTTTAGCAGTGAGAGAAGAAACTGGTGAGGCAAGCCAGATTTTCTCAGGCACATCATCCCTAAACGGGCGAGGCCTCACAGCTAACACTCACTGAGGTGAGAACAGTTAACAGGTTTTTGCCTGAGGATCTGAGGCTGCGCACCGGTTGGTACAGGAACAGCAATTTCAGCATGCATTCTGAATGCAGGCCGTGAAGACCTTTAAAAGTGATAAGTAAAATCTTAAAATCGATCCTTAAAGTGATGGGCAGCCAGTGTAGAGTCTTTAAGATTAGTGTAATATAATTTTTTCTTGGTTGTTGTAAGAAGTCTGGTTGCTACATTTTGCACAGTCTGAATTTTTCTATGCTTTCTGGTTGATACGAGTTTAAAAGACCGTTACAAAAATCCAAAACCATGAATGACACTGAGCGTCACTAAAGCCCATGAACGGATAAAGGACTGAGGGAGGACTTCATGGTTGGATGCAGATTGTGTGTACCAGTGATAAGAATTCCTCTTTTATTTGAATTTAATTAACAAAAAATGTGACCAGCAATTTCTAATATAAGAATGTCTGCGTGTTATCAACATAGCAGTGGAATGAAATATTCTTTCTCTGTATAATAATCTGTATAATGTGGTCAGGAGGTAGAATGCATACATACCAGTTATTACCAAGCAAACTTTTTCTTTAACAGAAATCTAGTTCCTTTTTCAGAAAACAAGTAAAACAATTTGAGACCTAAAAGTGTGAGAGACAGGAGGAAAGTGTGTTTTCATGGTTTTTTTCAAATATGGCATACAAGCTGAAGTAAATGTGAAATATTACTTTAATTCAACCGCTGAGAAGAACTTATCATCCCTCCCACTGTGAACTGTGGCTGCAATATCAGGAAATGTATAACTATTAAAGCCCTGTAATAAAATGTAGACAGACTGCATAAATATCTGAGGTTAGTCAAGGTACAGACTTGAAGAAAATAAAGAACTGCTGTTAGTCAAATAATAAGAACTACTTTTTTATATATAGTTTGTGCGTTTAATGTATCTTGTTTATTGCCGGAGCTATGTTGAAGTTCAGTTGAAGGTAGAGACTGAAAATAATGTAAAGTATAGCTTTAAAATATGACCCAAAAACGGATAATCTAGTCAGATTCATTATTTTGGTTCAGGCAGTTGGGGCAACAATTGCATCTGTTTAAAGACTTCTTTGTTGTTTTGTCACACATCCTTAAAAAAAAAATGTCGTTACATGTTGTAGTAATTTTGCAAAGAGATATCCTGCCAAATAATGCTAGACAACAGTGATGATTATTTATTTGTTGGTTAAACCGATTTCAATTTGGTCTCCAATGCAATGGCCCTGGGGGTTCTCCCCTGAACTTAATCAGCTTAGCTGACTGGGATTCCTTTATTATTGCAGAACATGTTTATTTGCAGCTCAAAACAACGGGGAAGGGAATTGTCTCTGTGTTTTCATTGTTCTACATTTGGCATATTGCCCATGTTTAAGTTGATGCAAAAAAAAAAAAAAAAAGATAAGCAAAGGAACAAAAATCTCTATCAACACTTCAGAAACCCAGTCTAACCCTCCTAAGTGTGTTCAGAACATGTGGCACACACAATACGGCAAGTTGTGGCAGCAGGAAGACATAGACCGTTACTGAATATTTATGAACAGAAAGGCGATACTTTCTAATTAACAAAATTAAAGTTAGGCTTATAAATCACTTTAAGAATAGACTAACATGCATACTAAGTATTTAATTTATCTTTTTAATTAAACACAGTGGGTAGTTTTTAATGGCTGCCAACTGTAAGATTCTCTTTTTGCAAATCGCATCTTGGCCTCCCCTTAAAACACAACAGTTTATTAAATAATAACAAGTTAACTTTGCCTCCATCCATATTTTCATATAGTCCTGACCCAAGTCCTGAGCTGTGTGATGGAGGTGTTGCCTTTGGAAGGAAGTGTTCAGAGAAATGCTTGAAGATCAGAAGTATATTTGTGAATGTGCTAAGTATAGAGTACGAATGAAAGCAACTCTTTGAACCACTGGATGTGAGAGACAACATCAATACTTCAAGTTCAGTGTTTACCTTGATGTGACTCGTACAGTTTTACATGATAAACAGATGTGGCTGCAAGGCATGTGGAGAATATAAAGAGCTCAATCAGGTTTTATTAGATGCCTACAACTGTAACACAATTGGCAAACATGAAAACACAATTTAGGGAGCAAAGCAGAAAGATCTATACTGCACTTTATCAACGTGTTTAGGCAAGCATCTCATTTTACAAAGGAGATCAAATACCATGTAAATTACTTTTGGTAAAAAGACAAAATGCACAGTGGACATTTAGTGAATATCTCTATGGGCTCTCATTTAAATGGAAATTTGCCTCTCAGTAATGTGCTGAGGTGCATCAAAATGGAATATTAGATTGAAAAAATCCCCATGTTGTGGACAGGCAAAAAATAGCCACTTACTCTGCGAGAGAGACTAATGTCAGAGCCCATTACAGGTGGCTGAGCCGACTGTGATCTTCAAATAATGTCAGCTGTGCTTAGCAGTGAATTGGTCGTACCGTGTCTTGACTTAATATCTCCCTGTTGAGCTGCTGTTTATTCCCTTAGCTGGTCATTGCCCTCTCAGCTGAGTCCCATGGCAAAATGTTTTAAAGCTATATTGTTCCACAACACAAAACATCACAGTTTTTAGAAAAAAAAAAGGAATTAAAATTCTGCCTTTCATAAGTTTGTTTTTTTTGTTTCTTTGGGGTTTTTTTTAGTCTGTTTTATTTTGTTTTTCATTTTGACAGTTTAGTTGGTTTGTCACGGGAACTACTCTCATTAGACTGAGGTTTGATTCTGTGTGTAACAAAAACCTTTCTGCTGTTTGTTTTTAGACTTTTTGTCCTTGTTATGGGGCCAATTAGTTTTTCATATATTACTGTCAGACATAGTTTCATATTGTATTTTTATTTTTGTTTTACACTTACCATAATTCTAATTTCACTAAAATTATTCTATCAGAGTTACAAAATTACCACGTTTTGGGTAGACCTTTTCACATCCTTCACCATATATTTTCCTGTTATGCAAGGTTACTGGTTCCTGCCTCTACAATTGGTCCCTCTAAAACTCTAGGTATCTCCTGATTTTACCATCTTTATTGCAAAGTACATTTATGCAGTAGACCAACCCAGCTGTTACAGATTTTCCTGTGAGACTGAACTGGCCTTCCACTTTACCTCTTAAGTTAGAAATGAGCATTTTTCTCTACTCGTAACCTATTTCTCACCAGCTGTAGTGAGAAAGTTTAAGTTGTAGACTTTACTTTAAGTAATACATATCTTGCCAATCAAAACTAACTGCTCTGATAACACATATGCTCATTCAATCACTTTCATATCAACTAGCACGTACAGTATGTTTTTTTGGCTTTCATTCCAAAACATATTA